CTCAGTCTCCCAAAGTGCTGGGATTACAGGCTGAGCCACCAAGCCTGGCCAATACAATTTTATTAACTTTAGTCCTCATGTTGTAAATTAGATCTCTAGCTTTATTTGTCCTACATTTCTGCTATTTTGTACCCTTTGACCTGTGTCTCCCTATTTCCTCTCGTTCCCCACTTCCTGAATCCCCTAAGGTAACCATGGTTTCATTCTTTATCTCTGCATATTTGAGCTCTTTAAAAAAAATTCTACATAAAAATAAAATCATGTAATATTTTTTATTTTGTGTCTAGCTTATTTCACTGAGCATAATGTCCTTCAGGCCCATCAAAGTTGTGGCAAGTAGCAGGATCGCCTCCTTTTTTTAAGGCTGAATAATATTCCCATTATAAGCTGGGCTCGGTGGCTCAGCCTGTAATCCCACGCCTTTGGGAGGCTGAGGTGAGTGAATTGCCTGAGCCCGCAGGTTCGAGACCCACCTGGGCAGCAAGACCTCATCTCTACAATAAATCAAAAAATCAGCCGGGCATGGTAGCACATGCCTGTAATTCCAGTTACTTGGAAGGCTGAGACGGAAGGATCGCCGGAGCCCAGCAGGTCGAGGCTGCGGTGGCCAGGAGCGGCCACTGCACTCCAGTCTGGGCAACAGAGTGAGACTCCAACTCAAAAAAAAAAAAAAAAAAAATTCCCATTATATATACGTACACCACATTTTCTTTATTCATTTGTTTGTCAATGAGTATTTAAGTTGCATCTATATCTTGGCTACTGTAAATTATGTTGCAATGAACATGGGTGTGCAGATATCTTACATGATCAACTAATTTTTGGCACGGGTACAAGGGGCACAATGGGGTCCAATAAATGGTGGTCTTAATAAATAATGCTGGAAAAACTAGATTTCCATATACAAAAGAATGAAATTGGATCCTTATCTTACACCATACACAAAAATCAAATCAAAATGTAAAAAAGACACAAATGTAAGACCAGAAACCATAAAACTCCTGGAAGAGAACATAGGGAGAAAGCTTTGTCATAGTATTTTATAATTATATATACAGTATTTTTCTATATTTGCTATTTGTAAAATCTATAAGATGGGTATTCTTTGTACTTTAATTTATAAACTATTTTTAAATTTCAGAAGGTTTGCCTTTTTATTCTAAATGTTCTTAGTTCTCTGTTTTCTTATTTAAGCTTTTGGTATTCAGTCTCTCCATTTTAATTGTTATTATTTTGCTTTTCTTCTTCAGGGAATCTAGCAACACAAATGTTATTCCTCCTCTGTCTGCCTCCCATTTGCACTATTTTCTCTCTAACCCTTTAAAATTATCTCATTTTCATTTTCTCAGGGTTTTTCCTTGCTTTTGTTAAATGACTCTAGTTACATTTTCATTTGAGTCTCTTCTCTTTCGTGTACTTTGTAACATACTTTCCAATTCTGAGATAATTTGATCTTTTCCTTCCATTTCTTTCCTAAGTTCAATCAATTCTCATTTCACTTCTGCCTCTCCCAACAAGGTCCAAACCTTGGGCAGGGGTAAGACAGCTCTTCCTTGAATGCTTAATCTCAACACCTTATATTTGTTATTATTGTATTCTTTACATGTATCCTTACTTCTTATTAGTCAATACTATGTTATTCCAATTTCCTATTATTGACTATAGTAAACAACAATTTACTGTATATTTCAAAATAGCTAGAAGATGTGAAATGTTTCCAACACAAATAAATGATAAATGTTTGAGATGATGGATATCCTAATTACCCTGATTTAATATTACACACTCTATGCATGTATTAAAATATCACATGTACCCAATAAATAGGTATAATTGGCCAGGTGTGGTAGCTCACGCCTGTAATCCCAACACTTTGGGAGGCTGAGGACTGCCTGAGCCCAGGAGTTTGAGACCAGCCTGCACAACTTGGGAAGACCTCATCTCTACAATAATTTAAGAAAAATTAGGTGAGCGTGGTGGTGCCCGCTTGTAGGTCCAGTTACTTGGTAGGCGGAGGTGGGTGGATCACCTGAGCCCAGCAGGTCAAGGCTGCAGTGGCCATGAGCGCACCACTACACTCTAGCCCAGGTGACAGAGTGAGACTCTGACTCAAAAAAAATTATATATATATATAAATGTATAAGTATTGTGTATCAATTAGAAAAAAATTTTTTTCTGAGTCGGAGTCTCACTTTGTTACCTAGGCTGGAGTACTGTGGCACAACCACAGCTCACTGCAGATTCCAACTCCTGGGCTTAAGCAATCCTCAGCCCCCTAGGTAGCTGGGACTACAGGTGTGTGCCACCATGTACAGTTAATTTTTTAAATTTTTTTCAGACGCAAGGTCTTATTATGTTGCCCAGGTTGGTCTCAAACTCCTGGGCTCAAGCAGTAATCCCACTTAAAGTGCTGGGATCACTGGCATGTACCACTACACCTAGCCAATAAAATTTTGTTGTTGTCGTTCTTAATAATGATTTATTTAGTTTGAGAAGACAAAAAATATAATAAGGTGGTACTGAGCATGAGAAATAAGACTACCCAAATTTCTGTGTTAATATTACAGATAAGAGAACACGCTTGTTTGCACATGAGAAAAATATAGAGGTGGATTCATGATGAAAAAGAAACAAGAGACAATTTCTGTGGAAACACTAGAAAATTCTGTAGGATACACATTTTAAATAATTCTTTATATTAATTTTTTCCTATTCAGATGACTTTTATTTATATTAATTTTTTCCTATTCAAATGACTCTTTCTCTCTACTGGACCCAAGCTGACACATCTTTTTTTTTTTACCACTCAACTGGCAAAGGATACTTCTCCCTTCTTCTTTTTATCTTTTATTTTTTTTTGAGTTGGAGTCTCACTCGGTCACCCAGACTGGAGTGCAGTGGCCGCTCCCAGCCACTGCAGCCTCACCTGCTGGGCTCCGGTGATCCTTCCGCCTCAGCCTTCCAAGTAGCCGGAATTACAGGCATTCGCTACCACGCCCGGCTGATTTTTTAAAAAATTTATTGTAGAGATGAGGTCTCGCTGCCCAGGCGGGTCTCGAACCCACGGGCTCAGGCAATCCACTCACCTCAGCCTCCCAAAGGTGCGGGATTACAGGCTGAGCCACCGAGCCCGGCTCCCTTCTTCTTTTTAAATCATGCATATTTTTTACTTTCCTAAAGTTCATAATCTGATCTATATGTGCACTGTTTAGTATGTTCATTTTTAGGATGGGTTTAGTCTTTCTGGCACTGGTTTTAGATCAACCTTAAGTCCTATTGTTAATTATTGTTAATTATTATTGTTAATTATCCTCTTCCCCACAGTTTTTCTTAGTTTGTCTTCATAAAGTCTCCTGCCAGGGATTAGTGAGGGAGGAGCATGGCTCTCCTCCCCCCTTTGTACTTACAGTTATTTTGAAGTTTGGGCATCCTCTGTGTTCAAATTATGCTGAGGATATTTTTTGCATGTGTGTGCAGTTTTAGTTTTTCTTTTTTGTTACTCTGTGTTATTTTGGAGGAGACAATGGAAGACAGGAACTTAAACTGTCTTCATTGTCTTCAAGTACCCTGAAGTCCTATACCTGGATTTTTACAAGTTTGAGACTTATCTATTTCTAACCACAATCAAAGGAGGGCAAAACCACCAAAACAGAAATCAAAATTTATGGATTGGATCCAGTTCTGCCACTAATATTTAACAAAAATTGGATGATTCACTTCAGAGTTTGGATTATTTCCTCATGTGTGGAATACAGTGGCTGGACTAGGACAGTAGGTCCCAAATTCTGATAAGCATGAGAGATACTTGATACATATAGACTTCTGGGGAGGGTCCTAGGAATAGATATTAAAAATATATATCTGTGGTGATCCAAATGCAACTAGTCACAATTTTACATTTAGGAACCCCTAAGGAAGATAATCAGTGATATTATTTTCAGTTATGTGAGTCCATACAAATTTTTTTGATTCAGCAAATCTTAGTGATCCCTTATTAAACATCAGAGCTGGGTGCAGTGGCACACACCTGTAGTCCCAGCTACGCAGGAGGCTGAGGCAGGAGGATCACTTGAACTCAGGAATTCAAGACTGTAGTGCACCTGTGAATAGCTACTGCACTCCAGCTTGGACAACATAGTGAGAACACACACATCTCTTTTAAACAAAATCATAGAAAGACTTCACTGATGTAGTAATTTTTTTTTAAAAATCAAAGCAATGGATTAGTGGCAAAATGTCCTAATTCATTTAAACTGTATGATAATTTTTCTATATTTGCTTTTTTTTTTTTTACTCTATCACCTAGGCTGAAGTACAGAGGCAGGATCATAGCTCACTAGAGCTTCAAATTTCTGAACTCAAGATATCCTCCTGCCTCACCCTCCCAGCTATTCACTTTTTTTAAAATCAGAAAGTTTAAAACAACCAGAACAGGTAGAAAAAAAGGGGGGGGGGGTGGCTGGGGGAGGTCAGTAAAAAATTACCAAACAAAAACCAAAAGTAACTATACTTAACATATGTAGGAAAAACAAAACAAAACATTACAAACAACAAACTGAGAACACAAACATATCATAACCTATTCCTGATATTCTAAGAAAATTAAGTCACTTTCTTAAGAGGAACATGCTACATGTTTTATTCCCACTAAACTTTGGCACTTAGATGTAATTGAGGCACATTCTTTTCAGTGTCTCATATATTCTTTGGAAATACAACTAATGCTATCTCTTATTTTGAAGAAAACCCACTGTAAGTTTGACATCAACAAGTCACATAAGCTTTCAGCTCTCATTTCACAGTATAATCTATTAATATTTTCTAAAACAAGTAATTCCAGAAGCATACATAAGAGCAATGTAAATTCAAGGACATCCATAGGCGTTCCCCTCTATGTCTTAGCATTTAGTCATCTAAAATAATTTGGATGAAATAAAATAAATTTCTGAAAATACAATGCATCCAGAAAGACATCGCTAAATGATCTGTTTGGGACATACCCAATTGCAGCAGGGGTCAAGCGAGTGTGCAACTGAGGAGTGGTAGAAGTAGTGGTGGTTGTTAGGGAGCCATCAGTTCCAGTCTTCTCCCAGTCAAAAGGGTCACTCTCAATTACTCCAAAGGTCTTGATGCTATTGTCAAACACGGATGTAAGAAGCTAAGACACAAAGAAAAAAACTAGAGTAAGCCAACAGTAACCATAGTCACTTTCTTCTATTAGAGAAAGCACCCCTGACTCATAAAATGGTTTTGTAATGTGATTTTCTTTAAAAACAGATGGCTCAAACAGAAAAATCTGAATAAAATCTGTATGTGAATGACAATATTGAAGGATTTTTTTTTTTTTTTTTTGAGTCTGAGTCTTACTCTGTCACCCAGGCTGGAAAGCAGTCGTATGATCACAGCTACTGCAGCCTCAACCTTCTGGCTCAAGTGATCCTTTCGCCTCAACCTCCCAAGTAGCTGGGATTACAGGGATGCGCCACTGCACCTGACTAATTTTTTGATTTATTGTAGAGATGAGGTTTTACCTTGTTGCCCAGGCTGGTGTCAAACTTCTGGGCTCAGGCAGTCCCTTCACCAAAGTTCTGGGATTACAGGTATGAGCCACCATACCCAGCTGAATTAATGTTGATTTGCCTCAGTTGTGTAGGGGTTTTTTTTGCTTTGGGGAGACACATAATGAACCATCACACCTATAAACTACTTTCAGGTGGTTTGGTAAAAAGATATGTGTTGTATGCGGGTGTGTGTATTCAGCTGAATCATCTATTTGATTACTTATTTGTCAAAAAAAGACAAGAAAATTTGTGTATGGGTCAACCTAAAAAAGTGACCAAGCTGGGCTCGGTGGCTCAGCCTGTAATCCCGCGCCTTTGGGAGGCTGAGGTGAGTGGATTGCCTGAGCCCATGGGTTCGAGACCCGCCTGGGCAGTGAGACCTCATCTCTAAAATAAATAAAAAAATCAGCCGGGCGTGGTGGTGCATGCCTGTAATTCCGGCTACTCAGAAGGCTGAGGCGGAAGGATCACCGGAGCCCAGCAGGTCGAGGCTGCGGTGGCTGGGAGCGGCCACTGCACTCCAGTCTGGGCGACAGAGTGAGACTCCAACTCAAAAAAAGTGACCAGTGTTAATAGCTGGTGTGTCTAGGTAGGGGTCATATAGAAATTTATGGTGTTTTCTTCCAATTTTTTTTGTGAGTTTCAATATTCTCCAAATATGTGTATATGTGTGTGTGTGCATTTCCATATACAAATTTTCAAAAGAAATTTGCCCTATTAGTTTGATTTATATTCTATATAATTTCATATCTTATGTTTAAATTTCTAAATCTTGATATGATCTTAAGAAGGATCTCACAAAGCCCTTTACTGTGTCTGTCAGGGGGCACTATTTTCAATTTTATGATTATGGTTTCATTCTCTTGTCATCATTTCTGTTACTGTTAGTATCCTATCCTGCCAGATTCATCTTGTACATTTCCTGCCCCAGACCTGAAATAAGCACTTCTTCATTAGAGGATTTTGTGCAGGTCTATTTTAGGGTTTCAAAAGCTTGCTCTGGCTATTGAATGGACAACAGATGCCATAAGCAGGGATAGAGATGGGTGTTTGGAACAGATGACCAGTTAAGAGGCTGTCAGCTGAACCAACATGGTAACAGTAAAGGTGATAAGAAGTGGTAGTATTTGGACATAATTTGGACGTAGAACAAACAGAACTTGCTGATGAAATAGAAGAAAGCTGTGAGAGTAAGGAAAGAATAAAGATTAACTTAGATTTCTGTCCAGAGCTACTGGGTAAATACAACAAGATGAAAAGCAGTGAGTCTGGGGACTGTGTTACTGAAATTATAAGAGTTTAGGGAGGAATAGGAAACAGATACAAATTTGGGCATAATCAGCATATAGATATCAAGAAATATTATTTACAAAACTGCACTTCTACCCCTTAAATCTTTTTTTGTTTGTTTGTTTGAAAGCAGGATTTATTGAGAGGACAGAAAATCTCCCACAGTGGGAGGGGACCTGAAAGGGTTGCCCCAAGCCTTTTTTTAAAAGAGGTATTATTTAAAGCCATGGGATCAGCTGGTATCATTGAAGGAGAAAAGAGAGCAAAAAGTTCCAAGGGCTAAAGGCTGGAGTACTTCTATAGTAAAATGAAAGGAAGAAAAGGACTCAATGAAGGAAATAAAGGGGTGGCCAGTGAGGTAGGAAAACCAAGAGTGTGGTGTTTTGGACTACAAGTGAAGAAACTATTTCCATAAAGAGGATGGTCCAATGCTATCAGTTGTAAATGCATAGTTATTTCTGATTATTTAATTAATTTCTCAATTTTCACCTCAGACTAGAAGCTCCAAGAAGCCAGTATTTGTCTAATTTTACTCATCATTATATCTCCAGGGTCTAACACAACGTCTTACACATAACAGTTACTCTGAAAACATTTCAAGAATACATGTTTATCTGTACTAATATTTGCTGAAAGGTTCACAAGACTACCTTGCATTTAAGTCTCAAAAGGAAAAATAATATAGAAAAAGAAACTAAAAAGATAAAAGGAACTAGGAAAAGGCATGGCTATAAACTCTAGGACATTTTATTTTGTTCCTATTTTTGTTGATGTAAGTTACTTATGTTATATGTAAACTTCCCCAAAATGTCAGAGGTAGAGGGCTATAGAAAACACAAAGGGGCTGGGCACAGTGGCTCAAGCCTGTAATCCCAGCACTTTGGAAGGCCGAGGCGAGAGGATGCCTGAGCCCAGTGGTTCAAGACCAGCCTGGGCAACTTGGCGAGACCTTGTCTCTACAATAAATAAAAAACAGCCAGGTGTGGCAGTGCACACCTGTAGTTCCAGCTACTTGGAAGGCTGAGGCAGAAAGATAGCCTGAGCCCAGCAGGTCGAGGCTGCGGTGGCCGTGAGCATGCCACTGCACTCCAGCCTGGGCAAGAGAGTGAGACTCCAACTGAAAAAAAGAAAAGAAAAAAGAAAGAAAGAAAACACAAAGGGGGAAAGAAAGTTTTGGAACCCAGGATATGGGAACCAAGTGCCAGACCTTTGACCCCATTTCCTGACTCTACAATGAAGGTTCTCACAGAATGAGATGCATGTTTCCTGGAAGGTGGAGGTCCCACCTATGAGGCAGCATTTGCCTTGCTGTGTGAGCATGTATACTGACAATGCTAAATCCTCTGTAATGTGCTGCAACAAGAATGATCCTTAATGGTTTTCTGTCAGACGGCCATATATCATGGCATTATTTTCTCACCTTTATCATGGTATTGTACATCTTAGAAAATGTATTCTTTGGCAATGGATCTCAAATTAGAAACAGTTTGTTACTATGATGGTGACACTGGACACCAGCAGCAGGATGCAAAAAGATGGAGGATGCAGAACAAAAGAAATAGGAGGAAGCCGGGCTCAGTGGCTCAGCCTATAAACCCGTGCCTTAGGGAGGCTGAGGTGAGTGGATTGCCTGAGCCCGCGGGTTCGAGACCTGCCTGGGCAGCGAGACCTCAACTCTACAATAAATCAAAAAATCAGCTGTGTGTGGTAGCACATGCCTATAATTCCGGCTCCTTGGAAGGCTGAGGCGGAAGGATCGCCGGAGGAGCCCAGCAGGTCGAGGCTGCGGTGGCTGGGAGCGGCCACTGCACTCCAGTCTGGGCGACTGAGTGAGACTCCAACTCAAAAAAAAAAAAAAAAAGTAATAATGGTTATTTAAATAGTTTTTAGAAGGCCAGGCTCAGTGGCTCAGCCTGCAATCCCAGCGCTTTGGGAGGCCAAGGTGAGTGGACTGCCTGAGCCTGAGGGTTCAAGACCCGCCTGGGCAACTTGGTGAAACCTCATCTCTACAATAAATCAAAAA